GGCGAATCGATTTGTGCCTCGGGCACAACGCCGTCCCGCCGCCGCCTCCGCGCGCACAGCTCCATTTATTATTCTATTAAATTCGTAGTTTCCCGTCGGGGGGAGGGGGACCCACCCCTGCCTAGAGCTATCTCTCACTCACGACTTAATGCGATATTCATACCGAGGCGAGCGGGCGCGCGCGGACCTGCACGCTGCTGTGGGGGGTCCGGTCCATATATGCAGCCCCCGCTCCACCCTCCACTCCTCGCCGTCCGTAATTAAGTCGGACGCCGCGCGCGCCGATCCTCCCCCGCGCGCTTTTTCTTATCCCCGGGGCGGAAAGCGCCGGCGGTGGCCATCCGCCTTATGTACCGCGAACAATTGCAACAAAGTTGCAGCGATATAATAATTCGCCGACGGCCGATCTTTCTTATCTCGCTGCTACACGACCGCGGTGCACCGCCGTCGCGGCGACGGCGGCGGCGGCGGCACCTGTAATTATTTTAATGGTCGTTCATACGATGACAGCGCGCGCTACTGCAATTGCTGCTCGGATTGCGTTAACTTACTTAATGTGTAACAAATAAATAATCGCGTTACCTAGAGCGATAAGTAACGGAGCCCGGCTTGGAATCGGGCAGGGCCGGCTTCGTATTTTATACTCGAAAGCCTCTCCCTCTCTCTCTCTCTCTCTCTCTCTCTCTCTCTCTCTCTCTCTCTCTCTCTCTCTCTCTCTCTCTCTCTCTTTGTCTCTCTCTCTCTTTCCGGCGAAACAAAGAAACATTGTCGGAAAACTATATTAAAATAATATAATACTTTTTATCTTGACTTTAATTGCCGATTTAACGATAGGAATCAATAAATCTTGATCAACTGAATTGATCTTACTTCTTAAATCCAGAATCTTACTCTCGTAAGATCCCTGCGAGATTTCTGTCGACTCAGGGAATTACACCTCTCGCAAACATCCCGAAGTTTATTTCCGCTGCCTTTGGAACGTTATCGGAGAGATTCGCGCGCGAGTGGAGTCACGCGCGCCGCGTCACGGCGCGGCTGCAGTGTGCTGCAGCAGATGCACCGATTGGTCGGAAAACAGACACGCGTGCTATGCTGAATGCACGCCGAAAGGGCGACAGCTTGAGGGGTGGCGGCGGCGGCGTCCGTTGCACGCTGATAACACAATTAGCTTGTCTCGTCATGCGCGACCTCTGATAAGGGCCAACTGCACCCCCGCTCTCCCGGTCACCCCTATATCCTCTTCCTTTGCCGTCCCACATCTATATACTACTCGTACTACAACCGGCGGGATCGCAGCCGGGGAGGCAGCTTGGATCGTCCGCGTCAGGCGGGATCAGGCGGAGAACAAGAAAATCCCCCCTGGGACCCACGCGGGCGTTTCAGGGACGCGCGATAAGGGCGCGGGCTTAACCCTCTCTCGGACGCGAAGGGCCGCCCCGCGACGCGACGTTAATACCTTCCGGCAAGGTTTTCCTTGGCTGATTTATTCCGGAAGGGGGCCGCCCGGAGTTGCGCGTCGCACGCGATTTAGTATACGCGCGGATTTGAGAAAGGGCCACGCGGAACCACGTGCCTCAAACGCGGAGCAATTGAAGACTATGGATCTCAAATTTCTTATTTCTCTAGTAAGCATCCAATGAAAAGATAAAAAGATGCATTTGTAGGCGTCACTTGTACGCCCTAAGTATCGATCGTTTAAAGATGTATTATTACAAATATTTTCAAAATGGAAGAATTACAGCTTATTCTAAATCACATTCAAATAATACAAAAAATTTAGCAATATTATTAAAAATTGGATCAAAAATTATTTCAATATAAATAGTATTTTTTTTATCAGTGCTCTAAAAAAATGTATGAAAATGTATTGTAAAATAAAAAAACCTCAACTTTTTATACAAGTACTTTATAAATATATTCAAGATGATTTATCCAAAGTTTCATTGCAATGCAGAAATTAGTTGTTCTGTAAATAAGCAAAATATTTATTTGTTCTAAGTCTTCGTAACTAATCTGCAAATGGCAATAAAATTTTGCATAAATTATTTTAGATATTTAAGGTATATATATGTACTTATATATATGTACAAAAAAATCAAAATTTTTATCATTATTTTTTTAAATTTTAATTTATAACAATAAAAATAATAACAAATAAAATAAATAAACTATAAAAATGTATTGCTCAATAAAAATAGAATGTTATGAACACAATTTCCATACACGCATATATTTATTTAATGTATAAACATTAACCTATTTGTAAAAATAGATATAATACATCTTTAATTGTCTCACGCACCAATCTCTTTCAATCAAATTTGAAATCTCATCATTCTCTGTGCCTAAACGAAAACCACGATTTCAGAAAAGTAGATCGATAATATAAGAATTGTTTTTTTTCTTCAGAAAAGTGAATAATGTCAAAATTTTTATCATGCTTTTCTTCAGAAGAGTAGATAATGTAAACACTTCTTTCTTATCCTTAATAGTGAAAAGTATATCTTCTCGTTCCATATGTCGACAAGTAACAATGAGTCAGACAACGATAACTGTGAGGTAAGAATTTTCGCGGTGTCCAGAAGAAATTTCTCAATCCGCCTATGCGGGTGCACGTGCGACGGTGGATTCGGGGATGGCGAAAGAGACACGTGCGCTTTTACCACGCTTTATACCCCCGTCTGGATTTTAAAACAAATAATTATTTTTAAGGTCCATTTATGGGTTTCCGGTTCCGAGAGGAAATCCCGCCATTGTCATGTCCCCGCGTCATCCACGTGTCCGATTTCTCTGTGTTTGCCACCGCACACGTGCGCGCACGAGTGCTCGGCGACGCGCCGCCGTGCGTATACGGCGCGATCGTGATCCTTTTCGCATGGATATTCGTATTTACGGGGCCAGAGGGCTCGACCCTTCGAGGGAGATACTTTATCGAATCGCACATCCGAGGCTCTAAGCGCGAGAGGGTGCCTGGAAAAAGACGCTATACCGCGAGAATTCATATTTTTGTCGAATATAAACAATTAATACAAATATAAAGTATGATATACTGAAATTATACTCTATTAATTCTTTTTTTTATTTATCTCTTGCGTATTCCTTATCGTTCATTTCACGTTCTATTCGCTTCTTTACGGTGCAAAGAGAATGGATTTACGGAGAAAAGTTCTGCTTGGCTGTCGCATCGGTTATCAGCTTCGCCGAGCCCTTCTGGGCTTCGAGAAAGTACGAAGTTTACACACACACATACACACATACACACACATACACACAAAAAGGAGAGGCCACCGGGTGGATGAAGAGCACCGGCCGCAGGGGGTGGAACACGGTGTGGTAATAGCATAAATCCGTGAACTGTGTGTTGTAGTCGGTTCCCGATGGTCTCGAGGAGGGGGAAGGGACAGGCAGGCCGGAGGCAGGCCGAGCGTTGGAAGAAACGACAGTCGCCACTCGACGCCTGCACCGAACGGGAGGTAGCTCCGGCGAGAGAGAGAGCACTCGGCCTTTTCGGAAACTCCGCTTTGCGTCCGCGTGGAAAAAAGTTTTCCCCGCGCCGGGAAAGACAGCTCCGGGCGAGTCAACAGCTTCGACCGCGTAGTAATTCATTCGTTGATCGCGACCTCGTTGCGCTTCGTATCGAAAGAAGAGGAAAAAGAAAGAGAAACAAAGAAAGATCAAATTTTCGGAGATTTCGTTCTTTCTTTCTTCCTTTTGATTTCTTTTTACGGAACGCAAGAACGATTTCGCGAAGAAAAAGAGAGCGAGGGAGACAGAGAGATGAAACGTCGCGGGATCGTCTTGGACCCAGTGTGAACCAAAAGGAGGGAGAGTCCGCGGCATATCGATCGAGAGATCGATCGGTCGCGCGAGCGAATCCGAGCGGAGGCGGCTTTTCGCGATCGGCGCGAATTTCGTCGGCGGTGTGCGATCGTCTCCGCCCGATCGCTTCCTCCGCGGACGGAAGATCGACGGGGATCGCTCCCCGAGGCGCGCGCTCGCGCTGCGAATCAGTCAGTGTCCGCGTCGTCGGCCGAGGTGTTTCGGCCCGTCGTCGTCGTCGTCGCGTCGCGTCGCGTCGCGTCGTAGCGATTCCGCGCGCGGCGACCGAAAGCAGCGCGACACTCGTGAAAGTGCGCTGGCGGCGGCGTCGGCCTGTCAACCGGACAGGTGCGAGAGTAATTGACACGAGGACGAAGTGAAGACAGTAGGGGGAAAGGAAGAAAAGGTACTGCTTGGAGCGAGCGCGAGCGAGCGGACTTGTTGTTCGCCCGAGAAAATCGATCGAGGACGTTAATGCGAAATAAAGTCGAGAGGAGGCGGGGAGAGAGATACCAGGAAACATTCAAATAAACATTTCAATAAACAAGTGTCAGAAGGATCGGATAGACGCGATAGTTTATTATTGAAGAAGATACGGCGAGACAGAGAGAGAGAAAGAGAGAGACAAATAGAACGGTGACATTTAGCGGACGACGGGTGAGACACGGGTATAGGAGGAACAGAGAGAAAGTGACGTTTCTTCGATCATACTAAGGAGCGACCGCGAGAGGAAGGGAGAAAGCAGACGACGAGTGGGCCCGAAACAGGTCTCCACGTGACACGGACAAAAGTTCGCCGCGGCTGCAGGGAAGAGATCGGGTGCGATCGGTAACGGAAGCGGTTGTGCGCGAGTGTGACACATTCGGTTGCATCGGTTCGGCTCGGTTGCTTCGCCGTTTTCTTTTTTTTCTTCTTCTTTTTCTTTTTCCGCGGCTATTCCGTGAGAAAGTGCGGGCCTGACGTTCGCCGCAGGGGGAAGAGCACGCGGATTACTCCAGGATTCCAGAGAAGAGAGAAATTTCGCGACGCGCGACGCGCCGCGACGAGGAGGAGGAAGAGGAGAGGAGGACGAGGAAGAGAGGAGGAAAAGGAGGAGGAGGAAGACCGCACGAACACGCGCGCACGCGAGGAGACGCGATAAATTGATATCAGCTTTATCGGATATCAGCGGGGACGAGAGAGAGAGAGAGAGAGAGGGAGGAGGGAGACAACGGATCCGCGCTTCCCCGGGCGAATCCGCGTGCGTGGTAAGTGCGTTGTTTCGTTTATGTGTATACATATATATACGTGCGGATGTAAACACGCGGCGGAAACACGCCGCCGGCGCTCGGACGGAAATCGATCGTCCTCGCGATTGGTCCCCGCGGATATCGCCAACGTCACGTATCTTACGCAGGATACTGCAAATTGAGGTACCCCGGTGTGGGTTTGGGTTTTCCACGGGACGATCTCGCGAATATAACGAGAAAAAATTTCCACACGGATTGGATTCAGAGAGAGAGAAAGAGAGAGAGAGAGAGTGAGTGAGTTATCGCATTCCTCCAATTCTTTGCGTTACGACAGAAAAATATACAGAATAATAATTCACGCATTTCAAAATGTACTTCCCGGAGCGCGTCGAAGTTCTCCTCTAAAGTTTTAATTATCAATTAATATTGATGAGAACAATAATTTAAATGTGCAAATTATTATTCTGCATTTCTCATGTGATTCTTCTGCATTAATCTTACGACTTATGTAGAATAATTTTGCAATATTCGTAACACTTTAGTAATCTCTCATTCATTCGAAGCTGGTCGCGCACTTCACCGTCACACGTATGCGCATTTAAATTTCAAATTTCACCGTCGACACGAAATAACCGTATGTACTTCGTCTGTCGATATCTACAGATTTTCATTAGAAAGTTTTCAGCTCTTTGCCGCCGAATTTTCTACGCTTATATAGTAGCAGGAATCGGCGGCAGACAGATCGCGGTCATCGGCGTCGATCGACAACGTTACACACAGACTGACTGTATATACACGCGACCGATTAATTAACCCGCGGCGTGTTGTGGCCCGCCGCGGTTTGTTTGCTTGTAAACAAATGATGTGGAATCAGGCTAAAAGCGCGGACTGTTGATACCGCCGGCCGACTCTTTGCGTAATTACTTACCTCTGGCGATTGTCGCTCATTAATACGAGATATACGCTGCTCCGCAGCGCGGCGCGGCGCGGCGCGGACGAAGGTGCCGTGTAATTAAATCCCCTTGTATCCAAGAACAATTACGCTCGTTAACGGAGTGCACTTCGCGGTTCTCAGTTAGTTTCACGAGTACGATCCCGACACGAAGCGCAGATTTAACCCTTTAATTTAGCGAGAATAACTTCACCCGAACTTCTCGACGAACGAAAATTATTATTTGCGTTTCATTCGGTGTGACATGGATTTTTTGATATCTTACTTGAAAATCACGTTCCGTTTCGAGCGAATAAACGCAAGACATTTATTAACGAATCGCGACTCCTCCGAATCTCTAAATGCTGACGCCTTCGCAATCCTGATGTGAAACACCGCATAATTATTGATTTAATCGACGCCAATATCGCGTCGGCCATTTGCCAAGTCGCGCAGCGCGTACAATGTACTGTTTGATAAAACCACTTTACGCGCATTATTGTGCAACGAAAATTACTCCATTTAGCATACTCGTTATTCGCCATTGAACGCGAGAACGGCGCACAGTTATCGACTTTTATATCTTTATTCCGCCAGTCGAATATATGTGCGTGCGCGATAAAATCCGCGCGAAGCGCACTTTAATAGGATTGTAAAAAGATGTCAAAGGTTGCTTAACAAGCGGGAGAAGGATTCATTCGAGATGGCTAAGCATTGTCGTAAATAACGATGGCCTTCGAGTAACAGCTTTTACGTGATAAGATACTCATTTCATGTTCAATTGTAAGATACACGGAAAGAACGATTTTGTTAAAAGGTCTAAAAATTTTACTGAATACAGATCTGAAAAGAATTATTTGTTGAATCGTCAAAATAATTTGCTAGAATATTAAAACTGATAAGCATTACTATAAAACGTTTTGATATTCGAGCAATCGTGTTGATTTTCGCACAAAATTATTTTGATTATTGAGCAAAAATTATTTTCAAATCTGAATCCAGCAAAATTGTTCTTTCCGTGTATTCATTTCAAGAGAGATTTTGACAAAATATTTTAATTAGCAGAAATTTTTAAAGCTGTAAATCCGCTCTGGTATTTGGACTTTCCACCTTCACACATGGTTTACATATCATAAGTACTTTCACTAGGAATCCTTACTTATGTTTTCCTCTCCCACAGATAATCTCTCTACCTGTTAAAATACCTGTCTATACCGTTTCGCTAGACCTTTTGAGAGAGCTATTGTTCGTCGCTCGCAATACTTTAGGGATGAGTCTTCCTCTCCGGAAGATAACGTGAATGGAGAAACGATGATAAACTGCTAGCGAGTGTGACATCAGCGGGCAGATAATTCTGTAAAATGTTAGGAACTTAATGTCTTTGGTCATTAAAAGAGAAACGGCTAAGATACGACTAATAGTCAGATTAGCGTCTAATTTACGTCGGAATGCTTCCTGTTTCTATTTCTACATTTAAAGAGAATTCTCGGATCGTTGATTTTTGTTAATAGTAAGATTTGACTCTTAATTATTAAAATTGTAAAGTTGGAGTTTCAAGTCATTGCGTTAAAAGAGAGAGAAAAAGAGAGAAAGATATCAATTATAAGAGAGCTAGTATCGATTAGTAAAAATTTATCTTTCATGAAAATAAATTTTTTATCCTTTTATCAGTTATTACTGGAAACGATATACCGACTATCTATTAGTTTAATTAACTAAAATATTCTGAACTGAAATATTCTGTCGGATTGAAATGCGGGTATAGGTAGTCGTATTCTCGTATCGGGTTACGATCGCCTAATCCAGTTCGACTAGCGAGGTCACCGATACCCGGTTAACGGAGGTCAGGATCCGCGTTCAGATCGGACAGTAAAAGAAGCCAGTTCAGATCAAAGTAGATTGCCGTCACATGGCGATGTCAACTTCCCAAGATGGTTAGTTCTTTGAAGTTTCAGATAGGCGTACGCTTTTTGTACATCGGGCTAATTAGCTGCTTTACAAGCAGTAATAATTGATAATTAAATCTCTCAACATTTTCTAATAACTAACAATTTCTATTTCTTCGTTATCATCAACACATTATTATCAATTATTTACGATACTTCAATATACATATGTATATTGAAGTATAAAAATATTAAAATATAATGTTTTATTAATAGGATAATATTCGAATGGAGAACGCACGATAATCTAATTACTTATGGCGTACGAAAACGACACGATATAATTATTGTCATTTTTTTTATTTTAACGGTGTTATCACACGCGACTTAAGGTAAACGTACCAGTGACTGGACATGTATCTATATCTGAACACGTACATAAAATTTATTAATCTCAAATGCTTTTTTTTATTATAATACAATATATCAAAATATATAATATAATATAATATATCAAAATTTAATTGTAAAAATATTTAAAGATTACAATTAAATTATATTTTGTAGTATTATGAAAAAAAAGCATTTAAAAATAAGTTTTTGTGTTTGTTTTGCGTACTTGTTCAGACGTAGATACACGTTTATGCAGTCATTGGTACGTTTACCTTAATTTCCGAATCGGAATATTCGAATTTCACGGTCAGGATTTGTTTCGCGCCCTATATAAACACCGCTGTAATTTTCGTTAAATTTCAACGCCGCTAGAAACGCTAAAGAGCGGCGTTTATCTTCCGCAGGTGCACGCACGCCTTGCGACAATATTATGAGCACTGCTCACGAGCTCTCGATCCTGTTTTGTAACATCGGGACGACTTCTCTCCGTTGGCGTATCTATATAATACTTTGCTCGATTGCGTTGCACACGAAAAACAGGAGTGCGGATAACATCGCCGCGCCACGTTCAAGCGCGCCCGTCGCGTCATCGTCGGTTAACATACTGTGCGCGCAGTAATTAACATAGTATACCGGCGAATAATTACCCCGTCTATCGCGCGATCCGATCTTTCAGATGGGAATCTAGTATCGCGAGGCACGCGACACATCGCGATGCAATTATTCCGTGAACTTGACGAAGATCTATGGAGCTTAAAATTATGTCATACCGAAATCAGATAATATACACAAGAACGATGATGGAATAAAAATGAACGAATAAAAAGTTACACAATCGATTTTTTACACAAGCCGTCAAACGTCAAATTTCCGTCACATCAGGAGGCGACGATTCGAGAACTCAATAAATAAATATAATCTTTTTCTTTATGGCTGCGGTTCCCAAGATGTTTAATACATAAAGTTATTCGCGCGCTTGTGTGCGCAATAAATCTCGAAATTGCATATGTAATTGTGCGTTTTATGCGAGTTTTATGGCACGACGGTCGCGCAACACTTTCTAACGAGAACTGATCGGAATATATCGGACCCGACGTCGATCCCCGGCCTCTTAATCCGCAGATTCATCTCACGTTTTCGGACTTAGCGACGAAAGTATACGTGCCGTCAATTCGGGTCGGCTGTGACACTCTTCTTTCTCTCTCTCTCTCTCTCTCTCTCTATCTCTCTCTGTCTTTCTTTTTTTATCGAGACTACTTTAACGACGCCGATGTGTACCTTTATTCCCCGCGAGGAATGCATCTCGCACGTTAATATCACTCGACTTTCCATTCGCTGCGTTCTACGTCTCCCGGTAGCGTTGAGTTATTTTTGCGTGCACGAGAGAAAAAAAAGAGAGATAGACGGAGAAAAAGAAACGGAGATCGGAATTCCCGAATAACTTTTTGGCGCACGCGCGAATATTTAAATCGTGGTTTATTTTCATAATAAATTTAAAGTGTCGCTCAAATTTACATGAGCATTAAAATCTCGAGATAACCCGACTACTATTTACGATCGCGGTTGTTTCGGTCTGCCCTGACCTATAAAATTTCGTCATTCTTTTGTCGTAACACGTTGACACAACGTATAACGTGGCTGCAGTTATGTGTGAAAACCGTTTAATTATAAAACGGCATCTATAACGAGACTTAAGACTTAAGATTTAAGAAA